AGTACCAAAATACGGAGTAGCATTTTATGTTTTTTTTTCTCGAAATAGGATTTTGCACTGTGATAATGTTGCATTCTACATGTGCACATTGCTATATTTTTTTTGGTAATGTACATGACCATGTTTGGTAATGTAAGTCCTATTTCGGGAATAAAAACATAGAAGTTTTATTTTGATATATTTTCAATATTTTAGTCTTACTTTAATCTTTCTCCTTATTAGTTTGATAACTTTTTAATTTTATTGTGTTTAATAAAAGTTTACAGTGTTGGATAAATATGGTGATCGAGATGAGACACATCAACTCGGTCACTTTTTTCGATACTAGAAATAAATAAAGAACATTTTAATAAATATTTTTATTCAAAATGCGTTTGGGAAATTTTTGAATTCTAGAGAGATCTGAATTACTACTCAAAGCTTGAGGAAATGGTGATGTATGGTACAAATTGAGGCGTGTTTGGCGTGAAAACCTTAGCATTGACCACGTGTACCCCCCATTCTTATTCTCGTCTTCCCAAATGGTGAAGACTTTACTACATTTGGGCTCACCCTTTATTTGTAACTAAATTTTTGATAAATTTTATAAAAGGTACTTAGTTATAGTTTGTTTTATATATTTAGTTTTTACATATCAAATATCAATATTTTAATTCCTAATTATTATATTGTTTTCCAAGAATGATCTTTCGTTAACATTTTCATTAAGAACATGGATAAAATTATAAATTTACGCTCATCTCTCTCCTCAATTAAGCTTTTCTCCTCATCTCGCACTCATTTCCCAAACCCGTTGCTGAGTTTGAAGCTTTAAACCAAAACTGAAATGATCACTCCTCTCTCAATCGTTCATCTTCTTGGTGGAAACCAAATTCGAAACTAATAACCTTCGTGTATGAATTTTATGGGTTAGTCTCAAGAAGTTGCAAGGAAAACAAACTTTAAAACTCATCCATGAAGGTAGTTGGTTTCGATTTTGGATCTCACCGAGAAGACAAACAATTGAGAGGGGAGTGATGATTTCGGTTTTGAGTTCAAAGCTTCGAACTCAGCAACGAGTTTGGGAAAGGAGTGCGAGAGGAGGGATGAAGTTTAATTGAGAAGAGAGAGGAGCGTGAATTTATAATTTTATCAATGTTTTTAATGGAAATATTAACAAAGGATCATTCTTCGAAAACAATATAATATAATAGTTAAGGACTAAATTATTGATATTTGATATGTAGAGACTAAATATGTAAAACGAACTATAACTGGGGACTTTTTATGGAATTTACTCTAAATTTTTTATGCCCTTTCATAACATGTTTTGGCGATTCGTTTTAACATTTTGGAAAAGTTATTTAACCATAGTATTTAATTTTAATATTTTCTTTGTTCTAAAATGAACAATTTAGTCCTCGAGAACTTTATACTTTTGCTATTTGAGTCCTCGACAACCTTTTTTAGTCAAAATTTATAAACTTTAACCAGTAATTAAATAAAATTTGTATTAGATATTAATATAAAAATAACTTTATTAAATTTGTTTTATACAATATTTTTAAAATATCATTTTATCTAATTAATATATCATATAATTTCTATTTAATTTGAGGTCAGAAGTTAAAATGATTGACTGCAAAAAGTCAAAGTAGATAAATACTTGGGAACAAATGTAGTAGATAAAAATCACTTTTTTAAAAAATGAAATTTTACACATTATTTGAACTGTGTAAATAAATTTGTGACCGAAGGAGTATTTTTAAACTTAATGAGTGTTATCACTTTAGATTATTTTTTAATATTGTACACTATACTATTACTCCCTCCGTCCCAAAAAGATTTACACGTTTCAAAAAAATTGCGTCCCACAATCTCCTACCCATTTCTATTAAAAAATCACTTTTACCCATTACTTTTTCAAACCCTACCTATCACATCATACCTTTTTCCTAATAATCTACACATCACATCCTACTTTTACCCATCACATCAAGGGTATTTTTGGAAACTCAACTCAAAATTATCCATCCCTTAATTTCAACTTTAGTCAAAATGGGTAACACTTTATGGGATGAAGGGAGTAAAATATAATCTAAAGTACTAACACTCATTAAAGATATTGTTCTTATATATAATGTAATGTAAGTTATTTATTACTTATTCTTATTCGAACTAAATCCTACTAGGTTAGGTCAAACTAGATTAGATCTGAAACATCTTTAAATATAAATACAGTTAGACTAGATCATATCAAATTTTAATAAAATTAGATCGGCAACGAGAAGATGCTCGTACATGTGAGAGATTCCATTCGGAGCAAGTAAGGATGCTCGGACATGTACCAAACCATGATGTCAATATCACGTTAAACTGCGATCAAAGAACATGAACCATCAACTTATCGATTCATAAACCCCAAACATGTTTCCGAAACAGCACTTAAGTAATACTTTTTACCTTGCATTACAAAACTTTCATAATTTCCTTATAAGTATGCTTCATTTTTATTTCTTGAGTTAGATATCTTAAAATAGTCTCTCTAATCTCTACTTTTGAGTTGGGATAAGGTTTGAATTGACACACTCTAATTTTCCTACATCCCATTTGTGAGACATCCAACTGGATTGTTGTTCAATAACGTAACAGTGAGTATTATTTTACCATATTTTTTTTACTTTTTTGTAAAAAAAAATCTTTTAAAAAATTCCTTTTAAAGGAATTTTAATCACTCATCATTTTTACTTTTTAATGTCTCTTATCACTTCTTACATCTTACATATAAAGTGAGAAAATAAATGTAGAACATAAGGAATAACTAAATTAATACTATAATGATTATTGCTATCCTTTTTACCGATAGGTACAACTTTTTAATTTACATGCATTTTAAGTAAAGATGCTTTTGAAAAGAAGAGGTAAAAGTATTCTATCAATCTTTTGGCAGAGAGGGAGTACTAGCATTTCTGTACCTATTATAATTTCCAGAAAATTAAAATTTTTTCTTTTAATGGAGAAGAAAAGTGGATGAAAAACAAAATGAGAAATCAAAATTTACAAAAACGTGGAAAACCAAATCGCTCTTAATTTGGTAAGAAAAATGAGTCTTTCTTTCCTTTTGAATTCCTTAAACGAAAAATAGTGTAAATCGATTCTTAATAAGCAATATCTACTTAAATGATACGGAGTACTTTATAATTGAAAATTTTTTTCCTCAATGGTGCTCAAAAAACAACAATTGCCTACATGATATACTGCATAGTTGATATTTCTTCTCACGATTTTTATCCTCCGACAATAGGGGTGATATTATAATTAAATTCAAAGGGGTGATTTGAAAACTATTTTATTAGAAGGGAAAAATACCAAAATACAAGTAAAACATGGAAAAGTAATATCATCAGCACTTCGGTGCCAAAAAGACCATGTACGATCTGCATCTTTGTGCCCGTTGTTGTGATCACAAAGTAAAATGCTCATCAACCATTGAATCCTAATCTTTGTTAACAATCACCAAACACAATCAATTTTGAAACTATATGAAACTCTTGCCCACACAAAAAAGACAACTATTTCAAATTCAAACATAAAAGAACAACTTGTTTGTCATTTTACAAATTACAACTCAATAAATGAGAGCACTCAATGGAGTTGTTTGGCATGGTTGAGTGAGGTTAAAATAATGGGGTTGGGGATGACACAACTCCCCACCAACACAAACTAACCACACGGCTAAACCCAACGTCCAAAAACACACAATTTAGGAAGTTACTAATTCTAGAATTTCCCTTTTGTTTATTTATTAACATCGCCGTCAACGGATAAGGATTCACACCGTTTCCGTCAAGTCGGCGTCTCCCACCCATTGCGTCAACCACCTTCTTCCTGATGTGACCATGTGGTCACCCGTCTCTCCCAACTTTTATTTCCCCTTTTTTTCCTTTTGTTGACCACTTTGATTTTTTTTAATTTTAATTTGTAATTATAAAGAAAGAAAATTTTAATTTAATTGTGGAAACAACGAGGATAATATTTATTCTTGAAAAATTGATTACTTACATATTTTAATAATTTACATGACTTTAAATAAACTAAATTTTAAAAGTTAAGAGTTAACGCTAAAAAAACTGAACATTATTATGACTATGATTGTGCACTTAAACTTTTTAGTTGAGCACTCCATCTCTTCATTCTCTTCCATGTCTTTCTTCCCATTTTGATTTGTATGGTAAATATGTTTAAAATTTGACCATAAAGTAAGGAAAAGAAGTACTTTGTGTTAAATTACGAAATAACTTTTAATATTAATAAATATTACTCTTATAACACATTATTAAAACATTGAACCATCATTGAAATAATCAGCTATTATCCAATACTTATTGTTAATGGTCACATTCCTAAAATCATTCGTGTAATTATCCAACACTTGTTACTAATGAAGACATATATACCATATCATATGAAAACATATATCCTAATGGGAATAAAATATATTTAATCCTATTCGGGGAAACATACTACCTTTTAATCTTACATGGAACAAATTTTTTTCTAACTTTATCAAAAGTTCAAATTTGTAACTATAAACCCAAAAAAATTATGATATTATATTTTAAAAAAATATTACTCTTATAACATTATTTGAATATATAAAATAATTAAGAAATCCAGTCAATTATTATGGAAGAGACTTTAAATTTGAAACGAGTTTTGTATTCATATTTTTTCGAGAACTAAACAAAAGACACAACAACAAAAAACACATCCCACAAATTGACGGAGGAAAGTCTGGCTGGAAAAAAACATTTTCTTTTTTTCTTTTGTTATTTAATACGCCGTAAATTCGCTGGTCCAACTTCTTCCTTTCCTTTCCCCCGCGTATATATATATACTTCGCTCTCACACCGAAATCAAACCAAATTTCAAAACTCTTAAAAATAAATAAAAGAAAAATAAATATATTCCTTTTCCTCTCTGTTTCATCGTCTTATTATTCTATTCTAAGCTTTACAAAGATGGAGACGCCGAAAAACGCGGAGAGAAGTTGGGTCCGGCAGCGTTGCATCGGCAGAGGCTCCTTCGCCACCGTGAGTTTGGCCGTCAGCAAGGAGGACGGCCGCGTTTTTGCCGTGAAGTCCGTCGGCGGCGCCGGCGCCACCGCCTCCCGGATGGAATCGCTCGAGGATGAAATCCGGATTCTCCGGACGCTTTCGTCGCCGTACGTCGTCAAGTACCTCGGGGAGGACGAGACTTGGGAGTCGGCGCCGGTCAGGAATTTGCACCTGGAGTACTTGCCAGGTGGCACCGTCGCTGACGTGGCGAAGCGGGGCGGCGACGAGGGGCTGGTCCGGAGCCACGCTCGGTGCGTGGCGGAGGCCCTGAGGTACGTTCACGCGCTTGGCATTGTGCATTGCGACGTCAAGGGCCAGAATGTGCTGGTGGTGGGCCACCCCTCCTCCGGGCTTGCCAAGCTGGCGGATTTCGGATCGGCGGTGGAGATTGGGAGTGATCGGACGGGTAAGAACTCGCCACGTGGCAGTCCGTTGTGGATGGCGCCGGAGGTCGTCCGCGGGGAGTACCAGGGGCCGGAGTCCGACGTGTGGTCCCTCGGGTGTACGGTCATCGAGATGCTCACCGGTAAGCCGCCGTGGGAGGACCGCGGCGCCGCCGACACGCTCCGCCGAATCGGGTACTCCGACGAGCTACCTCGGATCTCGGGCGAACTGTCGGAATCCGGCCGCGACTTCCTCGGGAAGTGCTTGCAGAGGGATTTCAAGAGGAGATGGAACTGCGATCAGCTGCTGCGCCATCCATTCCTTTCGGTGGTCCCTCAACTACCGGAGTCTCCCTCCTTTTTTTCGTCGCCCCGCCGAGTGCTGGACTGGGTCGACTCGGACACGGACTCGGAGTGGAACTCAGCGAGTGGCACCGTAAACTTCTCGGCGAAGGAAAGGATCGGGAGGTTAGCTTCGGGGGCAAAAGGGTCAGATTGGGAAACCGACGGGTGGGTGGCCGTGAGGAGGGAGGGGGAAGGGGCAATTTCGGAATTACAAAATTTGATTAGGACGGAGGGGCAAATCAGTCCGGAAAAATCTGATTCCGTGGGGATTGAAGAAGAGAGGACAAGTGGAAGCGAAGAGCGTTCAAGTTCCGGAATTGACGGAGACGGCAATATTCAAGGCGGCGAAGGGCCAAGCACGCCGTGGGTTTCGCCGGTGCTCCGCCCGGTTGCCGGCGGTGGTGATGACGACAACCGCTTGTACATTTGTTTGAAATATGTAGTGTTTTTATTAATGACATTCTTAATTAGTGTTTACCGATGTAATTATATGACTTTTATTCTATCAATTCTTCTTCAAAGTTACTTCGTATGTTCAGCTCCCAACCCCCATTTATTAGACTCTTTCCATCAAATTGATTCTTTCAAGTTTTGGTCATATTTTTTAATCTCCTCCTAAAATAAAATTTCAATTGGTCATATTTTTAGTCTCTCCCTAAAATAGAATAATTAAGATCTCTCTCTTTAAGACTCCCAGCTTCTTAGTTTAGGAGAACATGGGTTTAAATTAGTTAATTAGTTACGGCAAATAGTCACGAGTGTCACTTAGACTAGCACACTGCACCGTTAGATTTTTTTTGATAGAATTTTGGATTGAATATAGATAACTGAATTAGATTATAAGAGACTTGAACTAAATCAAATTAAAAGATTGAATCCAAGTAATTATTTAGCCCAGTTAAAATTTATATACTCCGTACTAATTATTTTTCTATTCAATTTCTGATGTGGGATAGGTTCTAATATTTCCCCTCCAGTAGACAACTGATCCATTTTGAATCTAACTGGTTGATCACTTACAAATGGATTCTCATCTTTTTGATTTTTTTGAGTGCCAACGCTGAACTTTCAGACGAGTAATTGGATTAAACGGGTCACAGGCTGTTGGAAACATACTCCAAATAGATAACTTGACTAAAGATAAATGGACTACTAGGAATGAACGTCTAGATAGATACCTTAACAAACGAGGTTGACTAAAACCTGCTCTGATACCGTGATAGAATTAAGGATTGGGTAGAGATAATTGGACTGAATTATAAGACACTTGACTAAATCACAACCTGCTCAAATTTTTTTAATATTTATTTATTTTAAACTATATTTAGTTTATGGTCAAAGGGTGATGTATTTAGACCAAAAGTAGTACTGGAGTAATATTTAAAATTTATAAGGACTTTAATTGATATTTGATGGCATAGATAATTAAATTTGAAAAATCTTGACAATTTGCTTATAGAGATCCAAAAGTTCATTATAAAGAAATGAACTGAACGTGGAATACTATATTTTACGGAGTAAAATTTAGTCTTTTTTATGTTGCATTGCAGCATTTAATAATGAAATATTTGCACTAAATAGCACTAAAACTTAAGATATTTATGTAAATAGTATTTAAATTGTTTTATTTCTTAAATAACATTTAATAATGTCCATAATGTCTAGTGATAGCTAATATTTACTTGAATAATGATTAATGGATAATGACTAAAAGTGCTATTTTAGAGAAAAACACATGTGATGTTATATAGAGAAAGTCATTATGCTTTAGTGCTATTTATCTAAATTTCTTTTTAATAATTAATTATTATGAGTTGTGATGCTTACATCAAAATTAATTAACTGTTAGTAGTTAAGACCATTCGTGATTCTGAATTTAACATCACACCAAATTAGGTATTGTCATGATTACATTAATTCATCAAGCTAGCTACATAGTACATACTCTTTATTTTAAAAAATTATGTATCCCCCTTCATTCTTTTTAATTGTCTATTTTATTTTAATTCGAGTACTGTGACTTATTATATACAAAATTCCACTTCCTCCGTTCCAGATAACCCTTCCTCTTTCGTTTTTTTTGCTTTTTACAAAACACTTCTACTTTCTATTAAAAAACCGCTTTTATCTCTACTTTTTCATACCCTACCTATCACATCATACTTTTTCACTAATAACCAAACTATCACATCTTACTTTTTCCCATCACATCAGTGGCAAAATTGGAAAGTCAACCAAAATCACACTTTCCTTATTTTTCCCCAAAGTCAAAACCGGAAGGGTCTTGTGGAACGGAGGGAGTATAATGATTGACCGACTTAGAATATAAAATTTGCATCATAACATTATTTTGTATACAAAAATGGTTTTAGTTTACCACTTTTAATGTTGTTTGCTAAGATATACTCCTTCCGTCCTAAAAAGATTTACACCTGTCAAAAAAATTGCGTCCCACAATCTCCTACTCATTTCTATTAAAAAACCACTTTTACCCCTTACTTTTCAAACCCTACCTATCACATCATACTTTTTTTCTAATAATCTACACATCACATCCTACTTTTACCAATCACATCAAGAGTATTTTTGGAAAGTCAACACAAAATTATCACTCCCTTAATTTCAACTTTAGTCAAAACGTGTAAATCTTTTTGGGACGGATGTAGTATTTCACAAGATGTTGATAAAAGATCAACACGAAAAATAAAACATATAATTTCAAAAGGGCAAGACAATTCAAAAAAGATTGAGGAAGTATTTTTTATTCAATCCCAAGCAATAACCCAAATCAATGTAATTTGAGGAAACTATTCTCATATTAGCAAGTCAATTGATCAAATACTAGCTAGATAAAAATGTTTTGCCCTTAGCTTTCATCAATAATGGAACCCACACCTTAATAGAAATAAATTTTAGGCACATTCAAGCTAAAGAAATACTTCATACGAACATTCTTTATTCGTAAATAACTACTACCTCCGTCTCAAAAAGATTTACACGTTTTGACTAAAGTTGAAATTAAGGGAGGGATAATTTTATGTTGACTTTCCAAAAATACCCTTGATGTGATGGGAAAAAGTAGAATGTGATGTGTAGATTATTAGGAAAAAGGTATGATGTGATAGGTAGGGTTTGAAAAAGTAAGGAGTAAAAGTGACTTTTTAATAGAAATGATAGGAGATTGTGGGACACAATTTTTCTGAAAGGTGTAAATCTTTTTGGGACGGAGGGAGTATTTATTATGACTTGGAAAATACATTAAAAACAAATGAATATAAATATAATGTCCATCCGCATTCATTCAAAATCTAATATATCCAAACCGTTATTTAGAATTGATACGATCTCTCCATATGGCACTATAAAAGACACGTTTTGTCACGAATAAACTCGTGACAATTGTATTTCTAATTTTTCTTAAAAATGTAAATACTCATTCCGTTCCTGAGTATTTGTCTACTTTTGACTTTTTTCGATCAAAATTGATAAATTTTAAACTCAAATTAAATAAAAATGATATTAGATATTGATACAAAAAGAGTTTTATTAGATTTATTATATCAAATATTTTCAAAATATTATTTTATTTAATTAAAATACAATGTATATTTTATTTAATTATAGGTTAAAGGTTGAAAACAGTTGACCGAAAAAAGTCAAAACTGAACAAATACTCAGGGACAGAGGTAGTATTAACTTCTCATTGTTTTACTCCTTTAAAAAATGTAAATACGGAGTATTAACAAAGCCACAAAATTTTTAGAGTTGAATATTAACTAGTGGTGTAGGAATGTAGTGTTAATAACGAACATCTTAGTGAGGAAGTAAAGCTAAGGAACAAATTGCATCTTAATTCTATCTTCACACGTAAGAAATGAACTTTGGAACACAAACAAGCAAAGCAACCTAATTGGCCCTAACAAAGGCTACATATTCAATTCCCATATAAGACAATTTTTACTCCAACATATCCTAATTTAACACCGGCCTTTATATATATGAATGACTCGATCTCCCACTCCTATATTATTTTGTATTGAGTAATAAGACATTGGTCGTTGTGTAGTTGACAAAGTAACGAGTGCCAAGGAGACAAAAGGTAGTTCGATTTCTGGCAACAATGCTAGGAGGCAACTAAAACTCTTTACCACTTGTCTAATTTATTTTTTTCAGTGACCGTCCAACCGGGGCTGAGGGAACCTTCGGGGATGAGACTCATCCTTTTTTTTTGAATTGAGTAATAAATGTTAAAATGAGTTGATTACACACATATGATCATGGCAGGTTTTGAGGATTCAACAGTTCAGGACAAGAAGGAAAAAAGAAGGATATGGATTTTAGCTCTTAATTGGGACTATGTTATAAAATTACAAAATAATTCGATCATATTATAAATTATAACTCAATAAAAGAAAACATGTTAGAAATATGGTTCGACTCAAGTGTTTTATGCCCCAATCCGGTCAGTGACCCCTACTTCATCATATCCAAAATTTTATCAGGGTATCAGAACCTGTTTTAGTACTTCATTTGCCATGATGTCTGTCTAGAAGTTCATCCCTAACGATTCATTAGTCTTTAGCTCAGTTATCTGTATAAAAACGGCCCGTGACTTATTTCACCTGATTGTTTGTCTAGAAGTCCATATCAATTGAACAGGAAAAAAACGGTATATATATTTTTTAGTTGAACTAAGTAACTGTTTTTAATTCAATCTCTTAATGTGTTTCAGCTCAAGTGTATTATAATCCAGTCTAATGACCATTATGTCATCATAAATTTTATCATACTACTGTAAAATAAGAGTTAAAAATAAATAAAAATATCTAAAATTGCTTAGGACTACTATATCTAAAATAAGAATTAAAAATTAACAAAAAAATCTTTTTCAAGACCAATAATATGTCACAAAATCACGACCAATAGTACGTGGGGTTGAGTAGTTGACATCTCATGTCTTAGATTCATATAATCATGCACAAGTTTTCAGTTCAAAAAATCAAAATGGGTGCAACTGAGATTTATTCTTTTTCTTCAAATCTTAAATTTGGATTTCACATATATACTCTGTACTGATTTGAAGTATCTCATCACATGTTACCGCCTTCCAAATGTGGTACAACATAACCCCACCTATTTATATAGGAGTAATAGGACCGTGCTACATAGTGTGCCTCCACCTAGGGTTGTAAACGAATCGAAGCAAATTCGCCTCAATTAGTATTTATATTTGTTAGATATTGGAATCAAAACTAATACAGTATTTGAATTTGAATTATACGAAATCAAATCACTATATTCGAATACGAATCCCAAATCGAATTTAAAATAGTTGATTTGTTTACATCCCTACCTCCACCCTCATGCCCCACGCATGAAAATACAGATGATTTTATACCCACATACACGATAATCATTTGTAAATAACACAGATGATAATTGTTTGTGCAAGTATAAAATTATTTGGATTGTCATGGGTGGAGGCGTGGTTGGTAGGTTTTTAGCATTATCTATTTATATATATATGCTCATTTGGTTGCAAAAAGTTATTTGAATTTTAGGGGATTTTTTTGAATCGTTAGTGTTTCTGGTTTTTCGAGATCCGCTAATAATTAGTCAAGAATATTTATTTTTATACTCCCTCCGTCCCTTAAACTCTTTCTCCTTTCCTTTTTTCTTGTCTCGCAAACTCTTTTCCTTATCTATTAAAAAACCACTTTTACCCCTATTAATTCTTACCTTATCTATCACGTTATACATTTTTACTAATAATTTATCCATCACATCGTACTTTTATCCATCACATCAAGAATATTTATGAAAAGTCAATACAAAAATATTCATTTCTTAAATTTTCAAATTTCTTAAATTTTCAAAAAGACAGAAAGTTCCAATTTATAATTACAATAATGAAATTTTGCACGTTCAAACACACACACATATTGAAGGAGGGAGATATTATTTTATAGGATTCATTAAGTCAAACCTAACATTTATCAACAAATTAAAGTAATGTATTTTTCACTCTATTAAATAGTTACAAAATTTAAGTATGTGTACAAAAAAAGGGTCACAATCAAACGTTGGGTATGGGGATATATATATATATGGCAAGGAATATATACTTGCTTGCTAGAGCATATTCGCATGAGAAAATGTTAACACCGACCCGATCACCATCAATTTAGACTCACTCACTCATTCAACACTTTGCCAACTTATTTAAGTTTGGTTGTACCTGAAGAATTGTCTCCAAGGAAAACACAATACCCAGAAGTGGAGTGACGGGTGTCAGGGCAGCCTGCCCAATCTGCATCTGAATAGGCCTGTAAGGAGTCTGTGCCGGTGCGGTGAAGAGTGATGCCATGGGTAGCGGTACCATGAATGTAGCACAGAACTCTCTTCATAGCTGTGAGATGGGAGCTGCGCGGTGCATGAAGATGAAGGCAAAGCTGCTGTACAGCGTATGTGAGATCAGGGCGTGTAAAAGTCAGGTACTGTAGGGCACCAACAATAGATCTGTAGATAGTGGGATCGGGGAGAGGTGTGCCGGACGAGGCAGACAGCTTTGCCTTGGTGTCGACCGGGGTGGAGATAGGCTTGCAGTGAAGCATGTCAGCCCGCTCAAGGATCTCGTGAGCGAACTGTGTCTGATGTAGAAAGAGACCCCCGACCGTGCGCTGAACCCCAATGCCAAGGAAAAAATTTAGCTCCCCCATATCTGTCATGGCGAACTCCCCCTTAAGTTTCTGAGTGAGGCATGTGAGGAGAGAGATGGAGGAAGCCGTGAGCACAATGTCGTCCACATAGAGGAGAAGATAGGCCATGTCAGATCCCCGGGAGTAGACGAAAAGAGATGTGTCGCTCTTGCATCCTCGGAACCCCAAAGTGAGAAGGAAGCCTGCAAATCGCTGGTACCAGGAGCGTGGGGCTTGTTTAAGGCCATAGAGGGCCTTCTTTAACCTGCAAACATAATTCGGCCGAGCTGGATCCTGGAAACCAGAGGGCTGGCTGGCATAGACAGTCTCGTGGAGTGTGCCATTCAAGAAAGCATTCTTGACATCGAGCTGATGAATGGGCCACCCCCTGCTAAGGGCAAGTGTGAGGACAATGCGTACCGTAGCCGGTTTGACAACCGGGCTGAAAGTTTCATCGTAGTCGATTCCAAAGCGCTGATTAAATCCACGGACCACCCATCGAGCTTTGTACCTGGACAGTTCACCTGTAGGGCCAAATTTGTGGCGAAAGAGCCACTTACCAGTGATGATGTTTTGGGTAGGGGAGGGAGGTACTAATTCCCATGTCTCATTTTTTATCAAAGCATTAAATTCATCACACATAGCATTATACCAGTTTTGATCCTTAAGTGCGCTACGGTAGGTGGGTGGAAGGGGGGAAATTTGGGCCATGGAGTTAAGGTTAAGGATGTGTTTAGGTTTGGATATGCCGACTTTGGACCGGGTTACCATGGGGTGGGTATTGGGCTGATCGGGCCGGGGTAGAGGAGGATTATTTTGGGTTATAGGTGGTGGGCTGGGCTGGTAGGAAGACTGGGCCGAGGGGGTTGGGGGAGAGGAGATTTGGTCCGGGTTGGGATTGGGATCGGGGG